CACCAAAAGTGTATCTAATCATTTAAAAATGAAAAAGACAAAACAATCTACATGTGTAATATAACTAAATCCATCGAACGTGTTTCAGGGCTTTGGAAAAGCAAAAGTTTAGTCATTGATCAGATGAATGAATAGAGCTCTCTGATTGGCTACCTTTCTTACCAGYTCATATGCCTATAAAAACAGCAACGAAATTTGGAACGCTACAGGGAAGTCGAGCAAAAAAAAATATATATATATATATTAATTATATTTTCGCGTGACCCTGTATAACAATTATGCCACGCAGTCATCATACTCGTGCCTCGGTCAATATGATCTCATGCATGACTCCTATTCGTGGGACGACTTTTTATTGTGGAAAACAAACTAACTTTCTGAATGAATAAAATAAATAGAAAAATAAACAAATGAAATATAAAAATACAAAATATATTGCACAAATTCACAAAATAAATAGAGAAATGATATATTTTTTCCACAAATAATAAATGTACCTGTATTCTACGTGTATTCACTTGATGTTGGGCAATCACTTGTATGCATACTAAGTAATACTGCAGTACATACTATTCTGGTCTTCATCCGAATAATATAACATACAAATTAGTTACAGTGGATTAAAAAAAACTGCTTCAACGCATTAAGGAATTCTTCAATGGATGCAACGCTAATTTTATTCTCTTTAAAAACGCTTTCAGCTTTGTATTAACTTAGTTTTAAGAACTACTTCAACGAGCCTTTTATTTCGGTTTACAAATTGTTCTATAATTATGCATCATACGCTGACTTCTCAACGAGGAAATTTCGTAGAGGTTTCGCTATAATCTTCCGCTTTTACCAGGGGGAAAATTTGACATTACGAGCCGTTTTGTTTATAGTTGATAATTCCCCGCTTCGAGGGGCTACTTTCGTTCGTTTCAGAACAATATATGCGAGGTAAAAGACGCAATTGAACATTTAGTTTCGAAAATGACTTCACAATGAGCCAATTAAATGTCAACAGATCGAAGATCAGATGTGACGATTTGAGCTTCGAGTATGCTCGAACCCAATCAAGCAAAAAAAAAAAACTACATTGAATTTGGAACTTTTGCTTTCACAGAGTTTTGAACGCTTGCTGATTGGCTCACAGGTAAGCCATTAAAATGTCACGTAGTAGGTACTCGGAAACCATTTGAATGTCACACCACAAAAAGCCAATCAGGTGTTTATTTAAAAATATTCATTTATCTGGAAAACTAACTCGTAAATATTGCTATAATTGACCCCMAAAAAACTATTTACTAATGACGGAAGTAGTATTTTCCACTTTCTCACTGAAGAGGAATAATTTGTTTATCAAATGAAAAAAAACTTTTGATCGAAAAAGCCATCAAAATGCCCCGGTGAGTAACTAAATAGCCTATTGGGAAGATTAGCAATAAAAACAACTTTTTACCGAAATGATAAAGATGCTTGTGGAAGCCAGTTACCACCTCGAAAACTGAAAAAAATGCCAATCATTGAAAACAAATCCACAGGAAAACCAAAAGAGCCTGACGTAAAAATGACAAAAATCATGGTTTGATACTGAAACCAAAAAATCATGGTTTTTTTTTTTGCAGTTGTATGACCCCCAAAATGTCTCTGCTTTGCAAAAGTAGCGAGAAAAATACAAAAACAAAATACATTTTTGAAATCAGTCAAAAAAAGAGATTTTAAGTTTCTGTTTATCATGTTTATTACATGTCTGTTAATTCAGAAAGAAATAGTCCTCCGCTCTTATTTACACAACAGAGTAGTTGAATCGAGGGAGTTATGCTGTGATAGCTGCCCGCGGAAACTAGAATTCCTAATAACAACTGAAATAGTCACCCGAAAATGCAGTTCGGAACATCGAGTTTCCGCGGGCAAACTGTCGCAGCATAATGCCCTCGATTCAACTACTCTGTTGTTCAAATATAGGATGAGGGCGTTAAACTCATACATACGATAGATATTAGACTACCACACGCCTTCAATATTTTCAAACTGTCTTCATCAATGTTATTGATTATTTCAAAAACTCTATTTATTCATTAAAATATCATATCATGCATTTATAACAAATCATTTATCAATTAATTTTATTATGATTTAATCTTTTATGCATTTATTGCACTATTTCATGTTAAAATAAATTGAAAAAAATATATATTATTCCTTCTTGTTATGTAAGCATGAAAGGAAAAACATATTAAGTGACGGAGAACGCAGGTGTTACGGCCGTTGGAATCGATTTAGAATGGCGAGCATTGCGGCCCTAAACCCACCTATATATTCTCCACAAATACTAACCGTTTGAACCCAATAACAAGTTAAGGTTGAAGTCACGTACAATCAGCTATATCATATTTGCAAAACTATGGAAACAAACTACTTGTGTCTTTTAAAGTGCTACTTAAGAAATACAGTGTTTTTAGTAAACAACTTTTGGTTACATAACGGTTCGTCTATATATTACCGCCATTTTAAGCAAGCTTAACGTCACCAACCGAGAACGCAACTAGGTTCAAAAACCATGCATAGTTCTTTAATATTCAGTTTAAATAATAAAACTTAAGCAGTCCGGGTTAGTTTTTCTCCGTCTAAAGAAAAACCTTTGTCGAAGCTCAAACTTCAAAGGTATAATCAATTTGAGCGTTCACAATGTCGCTAACGCGAAAACGCTCATCAAATGGTTGCATTTTCATATCTTTTTCCATTCAAGTTAAAAAAGATCTCTTGGATGAAGAATCGTTAAGAAGGAAACACTTTTCAAGAGTCCGCTCATTGTCAATGCCTTGTTATATACTCTTTAAGATGTCAGAATAGTAGAGAATACAGTCCTAATTCAGGTACAATGGATTTATATCAGAACTGTTATATGTGTCACCCTCCCCCAAAGTAGCCCTACTACCCTATGTATATGTCTATGTTTAGCGCATTTGAGTGTTTACGAGACTTAGTAATCTACCCATGGTTTTGAATGCAGGTAATGAATGCCACAAGTAAAATACTTTTTAAAATAGAAGTATTTGGATTGAGTGCTTTATAAACAAACTCTGCGAAGAAAACCGATTTGAATGTTGGCCTAGTTTTTTTTGGAAAATAGTTCCTAAGATGTTAACCTAATGAAAAAAGTAAAAGAAGGTATTCACATTAAAAACTGACTAAGAGATAGCTTAGATCGTAGTTAATTAATTATATGTATACATACCAAGAAAATAGATCCGCCGCTGAAAAAAACAACGACCTTGCCTTTCCTCAGCTATGAATGAATAGTCGCACCACAGTAGCCTATTAATGTCTACTGAATGACAACTCAAAGTCCCCTACCTACAACGCGACGACGCAATATTCGAAAGCAACTCTTTCAGCACTAACATGCAAAAAGATTGGATATTTAAACAAAACACGTGGCTAACGGCGAGACAGCCACGCCCTTAATTTCATAACCAGCGCGCGTGCGTCTTAGCCTCTGTACGAAATTTTCCCGAAAAAATGACTTGGAAAATAGCTGCGTGATCCATGTTAAAAAAAAMCGGTGAATTTTGCACAACTGATCAAAGGATTTAAGGAAGAAATATGCCTCATAGTCATCCAAAGCAGTTCTCTTTTCTTGCTAAAGAAGTGTTGGAGAGCGAGCCATTTTGCGGTCTAAAAGAGAAAGCTTTGGAAACTTAAAAAAGCTGACGTTTTTGCAATGGATTTTTAATCATGAGTCACTAGGGGCTCAAATCTAATACTTATACAAGACCGGTAGTTAAATGTATAGCGGCAAAGTTGAATATAAGGTCAAGTTCAAAGCYGATCTATCATCCTAAATATTTCTAGTTTCTAGTTATTATTTACTGCGGAATTTAGATATGCAGTTTTCATCAGAGAATGCGAATTTTATCTGTAACAGCTATTTTTGTACTTGAAGCAAGCTGTGACTAAAAAAAACGAATTCAGCTTTTGCTGATATGAAGAAGACACTAATTCCTGCTCCTTTTATGTACGCTGATGRACGATAAGAATAGGTGAAATGTCGTTAAACCTGAATAACCTTAAGGCAAAGAGATACGAGAAAAATAACCGTAACTTGTCGAACAGCACTGTTTCTGGTCTTCAAGTCAGCGTGTCCTCGCTTTAGGTCCTTCTTGTCAGTTGTGCATGCGAAAAGGTGCTCGCGCTTAGTGAAGGCGAAAAACGAGAAACAGAAATAGCGATTCCGAACTAACAAACAAGTTGAGGCTTTTAGTTTCTTGCATTTTTAGACCATTAGGTGGCAAACTCCTTTGGAACTTATGCAATGCTCCKTGTTCGATAGTGYGCGACAAGGTGTATTTGTTGAAAGTGATCTCCCAAAGGCAATGCATTTAAACCTGAACACTCAACTAGTTATGACTAGAAAAAAACACTGAGGCATTAAGAACTGTTATCTCTATAAAATAACATAGTAGTTCAATCAAACTTTAGTAAAGCCAAACTGAAAATATCGAGTTTTTGAGCYGTGATCTTTTAAYGCAATCTGACACGAAGGAAAGATGGCGTCGTAACTAAACGGAAAAGCTGAAAATGAAAATGAAAATACGTTTTTTAATTTTGTCAACTTCTTACTTGATCAAGATAAAGGACAAGGAAAACGTTTTAGTTCCAAAATGATCTTTTTTTGTGCGCAAGAGTACGAGAAATATTCGGGTGAAAACAAAACCCAGGTCTCATTTTCCATACTGCATGATATTCGATACAATTGTAAAATTTAATGCTCACAAAAAATCCTCATTTTAYTTAAAAACTTTACAGCAACAACCTTGCCATAACAACTTTAAAAGTCACTAATAAAACGAGTGATGTTCATTCTTAATCAAGTCATCATTCAAATTCACCAACAGCGAGAATAATCGTTCTCTCCAAGCACGAAATGAAGCACCACCAATCAAAAAATACCTCACCTAATATTAMAAGCATACAAGATAAGAATAMGCATATTMTTTAAAAGATAACCGACTTACCTCGATTCTTTCCCTGCGTTCCTCRAGCCCCGCGAGCCCTGCCCTTCTTGCTCTTTTTCTTTGATGTAGTGACGTCAGTGCTGGTTTGAAGAATTCTGGGAAATCACGTGACAAAACCGAGTCCTAACAAAAAATCATACGAAAGATTTGAAGTGCAATGCTGGTAGAATTTGCGTGCAAATCCTCGCACATTATCAAGCATGTAAGTACGACTGAAATTTAGGTCACGATACGGATGCGCTTTCGTTGCGTTTTTGAGATGATCAAAAGAATGGAAAAACTGAATTAGAAATATAAACAAAAACACTACGAAAAGCACTAGTGCGGATGACGCATTGAAACTGGACGTACAAAATCCTTGACATTGAGATTGTATTCGTCCTTTACATGAACTAGGGGACAAAATCTTCTTAGATCAAGTATTTGGTAAATTCCATCGGGTGCTACAGTATTGTATGTTTATAATATAGCTTTGATATGGATTGGTTTTGCATGCTCTCTGGTTGGTGAAATAGCAAACTTTATCACCGGTAAACGTTTACTAACAATGAAACTAAATCTTCCAGAAATAACAGTGCATGCACAAGGATAGATTGCCAGACATTAGAATCCCACTCATGTGATATGCAGTTATAAAACACGAGTTGATACGCACAACACAAAAGAAGTGTCAAAGAAACACGAGGCGAAGTGGAGTATTATTTCATTATCTCTTGCGTGTTCTGAATATCTCCAAAAGTGTTACAGCTGGATTGATCACGAAAAGTACGTCTTTAACAAACACAAACTAAAATGTGCGTATTTCATGCTCAAATTGACCAATCAGAGCACGTTTTGTATAAATGTTGTGTTCACATTAACCAATCAGAGCTTGTTTTGTATAAATGTTGTGTTAACATAGTAAGAGTTTTGTGTTCATATTGACMAATCAGAGCACGTTTTGTATAAATGTTGTGTTCACATTAACCAATCAGAGCTTGTTTTGTATAAATGTTGTGTAAGAGTTTTGTGCAGCTTGTGGACATCAGGTTTGATAAGCTAGTAGGTTTGGTGTAATTATAAATAGACTAAAAAGATTGAACTAAAAGGACACTTCAACACTTATCATTAAACACTGCCAGTTTTAGAGAAAAAGAAAAGTAAGCAAAAACAAGAAAGAGATCAGTAAAGAAGGACAAGATAACAGAACAAAGCAAAAAGAACTAGAAAGAGAAAAATAAGTAGAGCAAGAAGCAGAAACCATTGGATTTTTTTGCCACTTATTAACTCTTTTTGCATTCACCTGCCAGTGAAGTCATTGTAAAACTTGTTTAGTTTCAGACCAAGGGATGGGTGGTCTTGGAGCCATTTTCTTACTAAGGGAGGGTGGGAAAGGTCCATTTCAAGCCATATTGAACTGGAAGAAAAGAGAAAAAAGTATTACTATCATTAAAGAGCAAGTTTTGTAATATAAATTCTCTTCTTGCGTTTTAACCCCAAGGCATTGGTTCTAGATATCAAACATAGGCTACATGACTGCCCAAGGGGAGACAATACCAGGGAATGATAGAAACCTATATTTTTCTCAAGTGTTTTATATTACCCATGAGGTTTTAATAGGAATGATGATGCTGTAAATATTGTTTTGATGACATCCATTCCATCTTCACCTCCACACAGGGCTCTCTGGTCTTCATATCTGGAAATTATCAACTAATTGTCATCATCATCATCGTTATCATCATCATCATCATCGTCGTCGTCGTCGTCATCATCATCATCATCATCATCATTTGTGGCCATAGCGGCCAATCTTCTCAGTTTGCTTGTCAATCATTCACAAATAAAACTAGCCAACCAGCTTCACATGRGGCTGGTCACACGATAGGTGAATGATGCTTTTCACCATATAAATTMTTATCAAGCAGATAAAATCCATAAAAAAGCTAAGGATTACTGGATAACATTATCCACTCTTCCTACAAGCAGCCCCTGAATGACGGTCACCAACCTATTGATCRTTTTCAACCATTTCCATGAGATTCAAAAGATAAGAGACCGGCAGCCAATGTTGGAGGAATGAGCAATAGATGCTAATGAGAAATCCTTTGTTAAATTTCCTCCAAGATAGCCACTGTGATGTAACTTGAAAACGAAGAATAAAGCTAGCTATCAAAAAATATCGACCAAATCAATCTGCAAAGCAGTCATTTTTTCATATCCAGCCTGTCTATATATCAACAATTTGGATCACCTCTTTACTTCAGGCTGAAGATCATCCATATCTTGTCTGGGRATGTAAGGAGGATTGGATATGATGGCATCAAACTTGGTACTGGTGAAAAAATGACCTTCAAAACAATAACAAACAAAAAAATAATATATWTAAGAGATCTGATGAATGTTAAAAAATTGTGTAATTTTTTTCAATTGTTTGCATATATGCTTTTAAAAAATTGTCTGTTTTCTTTGAAAACAAAAGAAATGAAGAATTTATCGTTATGGTAGTTAAYTACTGATTAAGTGCAAAACACCTGAAAATATGCTGTCCTTTCTCAGTATTACCCATACCTATGTCAGCATTGCAAACAGTGATGCGGTCTTGTAAATCATATC